AACAAACCAAAAAAAAAGCATAAACAAAGAGAGCTCACCTCGTTTTGTTCACTGAGTACTCAATGCACAATTGGCCTTCAAGTGGCATTCTGTTGTTTTAACTGGCAAAACTTATGACCACAGTTATAAAATGACATAGATAATCTCTTTTCTAGATATTTTATTTCCTATTTAGAATTAAGTCATGAACTAATGTGAAGGATATTTTATTATCCTATATAGTAAAAGCCTAATATGCTAAATGTCAAGAATATTTTATTATCTTATATAATAAAAGCCTAATATACTAAATGTCTGACCATTTGACCAGTCACTATGACACACACTGACAACCCGGGGTGGGGGGCTATAACTGGTAGGTTAGCTTGACACTGGGGTCTGGCCAATGGGGACTGGGTGAGACAAGCCGGACCCAACCTGGAACCCTTCCGTGGTTCCTCCCCGGCCCCAATTGTGCACTGGTGGGGCCTCTTGGCCTGGCCTGCACCCTCTTACAATCTGGGACCCCTCGGGGGATATCAGAGAGCTGTTTTGGCCCAATCCCCACAGGCCAGGCCTAGGGGCCCCACTGGTACACGAATCCCTGCACAGGGCCTCTAGTAAGTATATAAGTAAATATAAGACAAACTCAAATGCATTATTTAGAATACGTATGTAGTTCTAATTTTTAAACATTTTTTTAAATGTCAAAAATTCTTAGCATCTCTGAAAGCAAAAAATGTATCCTCCAGGTATTCTTAACCATTTCCTGATTTTTGAACACCACATGCTTTTCAACATCTAAACCCTTATTAATCCTTTGCACTCTGGTTTTCTTAAATTCTTTTGCAATTCAGATTTAGATAACAAAAACAAGTGCCTACATCCTATTAGCTTAAACCTCTACAAAAATGCCTTCATCTAGTCAGAATATAAGACCAAGCCTTTGGCTTTCATAAAAGCATGATAAAAGAAATATCTATAATAATAAAAGCATAATATGCTAATTAGACCAAATGACCTTTTGGACGAAGCCAGGGTTGTGAGGAAAGCCCAGGTCCTGGGTGCCAGAGGGAAGATGGTGCCGGCAGCTAGGGGAAGGAAGGCCGACTCTTGCATGAATTTGGTGCATCTGGTCTCTAGTTAACTATAAGAATATTGCTATATGTTCTGCTAAAAACCAAACAAAGGCGTTACTACTTTGGTCTCTGTGTGACAGTCTGAGTGATAAATAACCTTGAAAAGTCATGCCTGGAAATAACTTTTTTTTTTTTCTTCCTGATAAATTGCTATGCTTACTTTATGCTAACACTAAGGACAATGTAATCATATGTGTATTCTTTTTGACGTTGGTTGCCCTAAATATTAGCTAAACTTGTTTCACAATGGCAATAAGTAACCTATCTCTGTTGCCTAATACATATTTTTCTCTTCCTTTTATTTTAAAGCTTTTTTTTTATAACATGTTTCTAATCATGTTACAGTAAGAGTCACCTTCAATGTATTTTGAAATATGTTTAGATATGTTTAGAAGGCAGTAGTAATATATTGATCTATATGGCAGGTCAATACTAAATTTTGGTAAGAAAAAGTTTCCATTTGTTCAAATGTTTAAATATACCTATATATTCCAGCACTATTTTGAGGTCTCAACATGCATCTGCCTTTTTCATTGGAAAAAAAAAAAAATATATATATATATATATATATATATATATAGTTGTGTCCTATAAACTAGTCTATATTAAATTTCAAAAACAGAAACGCTGAGGCCTAGGGCAGCATCTATTACATTGGATGACCATATTAAAGTGCAGACTCTGATTCAGAAGGTCTGGGGTGAGCCTGAGGTTCCACCTTCTATCAGGTTCCCAGAAAAGTTGGAATCTTTGTTCCCCAGTCCACACTTCGATGACGCAGTGCCTAAACAACCTCAGCAGAAATGAAAAGTCAGTACAGGAAAAATAATGAGTAAAATATAGCCCAAAGGGATAACTCTCCAAACAGTGAGAACTACCAACTAGAGCAAATGGGACAGCCAGTTTTCTGTTTCAATCTTTAAAAATCAAATTTCCTAAATCCAATATCAATATTAATTAAATTTTTAATAACAAATGTCTAGTTCATGTTTTTCAGAGAAGTTGATTCTGTGTTAGACAGTCTACCATATATATTTGAATAAAGTTCAGGTTGATATATTTCAAAAAGCTCTTTTATTTTTAATGTTTTAGGAGGAGAAGGGCAAGAAAAGAATGTCATTGAAAATTTGATAAGAAAAAGTTTCCATGTGTTCAAATGTTTAAAAATACCTATTATAACTTCAGCACAACATGCATCTGCCTTTTTCATTTAAATTTATTTATGTTGGTTTTATTCTGATTCCTAATTTTTATCACCTTTGGGGACAATTGTTACATAACTTAAGGGGGGGGGGGGGCGCTTAGCCTTTGATTAGTGACCAGCAAAAAAATCTGCATCATTTGAAGAAAATTCATCAGCTGTAATATGGGTTAAGGAGGTATTTGAACATTAGTTAGCTAAATTTTTTTTCTTTCCAGCTTATTTCCAGTTAAGGATATTCCTTCTCCTGGCACAGCATGTTGCATAGTGATAGTCTCCAAAATACTCTACAGTAAAGCAAAGATCTAGTTTTTCCAATGTTGTTCAGTTTTTATAGATTCTCATATTGCCCATTGTTACATTTATGTCTCCTCTGCATAGTTTCATAGATGCAGTAGGAAAAAACATATATTTTGGTTAAAGCTCAAATTAACCAATTACCTAGGATACAGAAAGAACTAGCTGAGTCATTGCATAAATACAACAACATTTGAGAATTTTTTTTCTAAGTCTGAGGACATAAAGTCACATGTACTAGCTTTCTATTGCTGCTGTTACAAATTACTATATATTTAGTGACTTAAACAGCACACATTATTTTACATTTCTGCAGGGCAGAGGCCTAAAGTGGGTCTTACCAGGTTAAAACCAAGGTGTCAGCAGGGCCATATTTCTCTAGGAGGCTCCTGAGGAGAATTTCTTCCCTTGTCCTTTCCAACTTCTAGACAACTCCCACATGCCTTGGTTCTTGGACTCTTCCTTCATCTTCAAAGCCAACAATCTTGCATCATCTCTGTGAGTCTTGTTTTTTGTGAGTCTTGTTTTTTAACACACAGGAAGCAATGCTAATATGAGAAGCCGTCATCTCTTATGGATTAACCAGCACTGTCCATGCAGATCTCTCTCACCTGCTCACCCTCTTCTCTGCTCCCCTCCACCCTGTATCTAACACAAAGGTGCTTCTGGGTGCTGTTCATAGTTCCTATGGATCTGCTGGGGTCTCCTGAACAGCATTTTGGTTTGAGATCTCAACATGCATCTGCCTTTTTCATTGAATATATATATATATAGTTGTGTCCTATAAACTAGTCTGTATTAAATTTCAAAAACAGAAACGCTGAGGCCTAGGGCAGCATCTATTACACTGGATGACCATATTAAAGTGACCATATTATTTGGTAAATGTTGAACAGTGTTTTGGTTCAACATTGCTCCTAGGTGGCACCAAATTGGGCCCACTCTAGGTAAGGTCTGATTAAGGAAGGGGATGCTGTAGTAATTGAAGAGGAATTTTGTTCACATAGCCCCTAAAAGAATTCTGAAAACCTAGGTACATATTTTAAATGACATCTAAATATTTCTAAAGACTTTCAAAAGGGACATGGTTTCTAATGCTCTGCTACACATTTCCCAGAACCTCAGGGCTGAAGATTTCACTCATTCAATTTATGGCAAATATACCAAATTGCATAATTGGCAGGGCCAACCATCATTGAGGAGCCGGTCAACCCAAAACACCTTCCTGTCAAAACAAGTAGGACTTCCTTTTTCAATCAAATGTAAAGACAGTCCTGGTGACAATATCTATGTTCCTAATGCTTAAAGAAGCAGATAAGCCCATCACAGAGCCTTGTCATGTGCTCATCTTTTGGGTGAATGAGGAGCAAGAAAAAAACAACTGACAGGCATCACACATATTCAGAGAGAGAGATCAATGTCAAGAAAGACATGGAAGTTGAAGATCTGAAAAATGAAACCTTTGGAACGTGGGAAGTCTTGGTGCTACAGGATATGAGCACAATTTGGAGACTGCCAAGGGGGAAAAGGAACTTAAATTCCTCTCTGAATGTATCTAACGTGATAGAAATAGAAGGTGGTTTTTCTAAACACAAGCCTGTGGCTACATTTCTTTGAAGGTCTCCAGCCATTTTGGAAGTATCTTAAAGCAGGCATCAAGTTCTCCTCATCAACACTAAGGGTCAACAATAGAGATGACAATCTTGCTTGTGCAGCCAACCTGGGCCTCCCCAGGAATTGACTGTAGGTTTTTCGTCGTCTTTAGCATTGGTGGCTTTTGTTTGAATCCTCTGCCCGTGCTTGGTCACTTTACAGTGTGTCCTGGGAGAGCAAGTGAGCCACCTTTCATTCTGAATGTTTCTGGGTAAATGGTTGTAAGGACATTACCACCGACAATGGGCAACAGACAACTTTATTAGGCGCTTTCTTTTCTTTGTGTGGAGGGTTTTGGCCCTTGCAGAGGGAGCCCCAGGTTCAATTGGACAGCACCCAGTTTCCACAGCCTCTGCAACTTGATCCCACGATGGGTGCTCTGGGAAAGCACCTTGGGCGAATGGGTCCGAGGCCCCTCAGGGCCAAGGTCGTCCAATCCACGTATTAAGTTGAGATTCTCTCCGTGTCACCTCTTAGAACCAGGTCCGTGTTCCCCTCCGCATAGCCAGCCCACCACCTGGCTGCACCCCACCTCCACGCGAGCCCCAGCAGCAACCAGGTAACCTGGGGCGGTGCAGAGGGGCTGCCTTGGGGCGCAGCCAGGCCTTCGGACGCAATCCCTGGGGGAGAGGCGGGGACCCCAGTGGATGGATGCTAGCGGCGCGTGCGCACAGGTGCTCAGGCACCCCCAGATCGGCTCAGGGCGGGGGAGGGGGAGAGCACAGCCTTACCAGGTCTATGAACGTCAGGAACTTCCAGCTCCCGCCGTAGGTGTGGTGCGAGGGCATTTCGATGGCCTTGTAGTTGCACAGGATGGAGCAGTAGGACAGCAGGATCGCCACCCGCAGCACCTGACTGGGGACAAGCGCCATGTTCGCCAGAGGCCTGGGCTGGCCTGGCTGCAAGGAGGGAGGGAGAGAGGGAGGGAGGGAAGGAGGGAGGCGCCGGGTGCGCGGTGGGGAGCCGGCGCGGCGGGCAGGGGGGCGGGGCGGGCCGGGCCGGGCGCGCCCCCGGGACCTTGGCAACCGGCGCCGGGCAACCTGCGCGGGCGGAGGGCGGGGCGGCGCGTGGGCACCGGGTTGGGCCGGGCCGAGGGCGGCGTGGCGTCAGCTCTGTCGTCATCCCCGTCATTTTGTGCCCGCGTGCTCCGTCCCTGGAGGCCCGGCCGGGGGGCGCCCCCTAGGCGTCCTGGGAATGGGGGTGCGGGTGACCCCAGAGCACGCCCAGCTGTGGGGACCGTGGTCGGTGATGACAACAGGGCGGGCGGGAGGTCAGAAGCCCGGCCTGGGAGAGAGGAGCCCGGGGTCCACCAGGGTCCCAGCTGGGGGAGTCTCTGTGCAGGTCCTTGTGGTTGCTCCTGTAGATCAGTGTTTCCCAAAGTGTGGTAGGCGTTCCCCCAGGGGTACGGGAAGAGTTTGGTGGGGGTTCGAGTTGCACAGGAGTTCGGTGGGGATATGCACTGCACCGTGCTTAGCTGCGCCTAATTCTACGTTCTCATGAGTAGGAGCGGTACTCAGCGTTACGAAAATTATAGAAGGGGTACACATATGTCAAAAGTTTGGGAAACACTGCAACTGGGGGAGGGGGGGCCTTGGTGGAAGCGTGAACATGGGGTGTCCACCTGAGCACGGATGGAGTGGCTTGCTTTATTTGGGACCCAGCCTGGATTTTCAGGGTTACTGTTCATCACTGTAGAACTCCCTTATAAATTTTATCCCTGGAGGTAGACTTCCCTGCCCTATCCACAGGAGGTTTATAAATACCCTGTTAATGCATCAGAAGGCAGGCTGTGAACTTTGGACAAAGATGTTTATGGATAAAAAAATAAAAAATAAAAAGTTATTTTTTAAAAAGTGTCAGATAACTGTTTATGCTGCAAGATTGCATTCTGCTTAAAAACAAATTCTGAATTAGGATGTAAAACCCGTATGTGTAATTTAATACTAATCTTCTCAGGGTTAAACTGGCTTTGCCCTTTTGCTTATTTATTTTTTCCTACGCTACGCATCCAGGCCTTAATGGAAGGAAAATAAATATAAACCGGGTTCTCCTTGCCTTCCAGTAAATGTTGTTACATTGGAGTTTCATCAGTCTGTGGGCAGCATGGTCACATTTCAGCCAACCAGATGCAGGGGCAAACGATGAAAAGACAGCGTAGGTATTTCCTGTGGATCCATTTAAAACAGGTGCCCTCTCCAAATAGTCTCTGAGTCAGAGACTGTGGACCCAGGGAGTAGGGAAAGCCCGTGTGAGAGAGAAATAGAAAGTTGCAACTCACAAACATTAGCTGGAAGTTTTCCAATCAAGCTCTAAATCAAAATTAACAAAGCCAGTAGATTTTTTAAATTGGCCTTATACTTTTGCTCACAGAAATGATGTCATAACACATAAAGAGAATTTTATTATTGATGATTTATATAGCTTTATCTTCAAGTAAAAGTTGAATTTATTTTTTTGTTTGTCCATGCCATATGTTCATAAGATTGGAAAACTTAAAAGTAGACTACTGTCCCGGCCACTGTGGCTCAGTGAGTTGGAACATTGTCCCATACACCAAGAGGTTTCAGCTGTGATTCCCTGTCAGGGCACCTACCGAAGGAACGCTGCGATAGAGCGTCAAGTGAGCCAGCGCGATAGCGAGCTATGGCCTCCGAGAGGCGAGAGTCGGATCGCTCTCTCCGATCTCGGAGCTACGCGCGCGATTGTCTCGGTACGCTCTCTCTCTCTATCTCTTCTCTCTCTCTCTCTCTCTCTCTCTCTCCCTTTCTCTCTCTTTTTCTCTCCCTCCCTCTCTTTCTCTCTCTCTCTCTCTCTCTCTCTCTCTCTCTCTCTCTCTCTCTCTCTTTCTCTCTCTCTCTCTCCCTTTCTCTCTCTCTCTCTCTCTCTCTCTCTCTCTCTCTCCCTCCCTCCCTCTGTCTCTCTCTCTCTCTCTCTCTCTCTCTCTCTCTCTCTCTCTCTCTCTCTCCAAAATCATTTTGAAATATTTTTTTTTATAAATTTGAATTACTGAAGATCTAAAAATTTTATGAGTTCATGTGATATCATTTGGTTTGAAATGCCTCCTACTTTACAGTTTAGAAAAATCATTAAGAAGACTCCCTGTCCCCATCATTGCAAAATATAAGAATATTTTCATAAAGCCATTTAAAATTGTATTCTGTACTCAGTTCCCTTTTAAATAAATAACTGTAGCACTCCAAAAAGTGTTTTGAATCTTTCCTAAACAAAGGATTTTCCTTTGTTACTTGGTGACTGTATAATCATGCTAACATAGTGAGCTCTGTGGCAATTTTTAATAAAACATTTGCATAAACCTTGACTCAATTATTTTATGGAGAATGTCAGCCCACAATTTTGGGAAGTTCTTGATATCTGCGTATTATTGTGATAGCTCTAACTCTTTGTATATCAGAAGAAGGTACACTTCCTTGAGTACTTCTAAAAGCTGATATTCTTTTTTTTTTTTTTTCCAAGAAGGGTGACTGACATGTTAGTGATGATAATCCTTGCTAATTTTGGAAATGACAGGGACCCCTGTGTCTCCCTTATGTTGTATTCCAAGAAGCCAACTTCATATAGCCTTGAGTCTCTACTTAAAAATGCAGGAGAAAGAATTGTTTATGCATATCCTCATAATAATCAATGTTTATGCATTTTCTTCAATTCTGTGTTTATATTAGATAAGCATTTTCTAACTATCATTTTTAGAAAATGAGTAAATAATTTTTCCCTCTTCACATTTATCTGCACCACAAGGATAGAAGTTGGGATGTGTTCCTTTTAGAAGTTAGGGCATGAGAGAAACCCCTTTGGAATCATAAAAATCACAGATCTAATTTGCTTATTTTTTCTTCATTATAAAAGCACATTTATGGTATTAAAATAGGAATTCTCTCATAAACCAGAGAAAACACTGGAAACATTTCATCATATACCTGCAAGTGTTTTTACAAAATACAGATTGGACAAAAGTAGGTTTACAGTTATGGGTATGTGAAACACACTTTATTCTTATATTATTATTATTAATTGCTTATTGTAATTATTATTATTAACCTACTTTTGCCCACCCCTGTATACCTAGTTTGTTGTGACATACTGTGTAACTATTTGCATCAAACAGATTTCTTTTGCTGTAGACTAAATAAGAATTTTCACTTATTATTTAAAATTCTTTGTAAAATTATGTTCAATTATTATATAACGACATAATATGAACATATCATATTATCACATTTTGCTTAAAATTTTCTATTGTTTTAGATATTTGGTTGTTTCCAGCTTTTTATTACTATAAATACACTGTACTGTCTGCATTTTGAGCTGAGAAAGCCACTTTTTAAAAGATCATTTGTAGCTTAACACCAGTTAAGAAACCACCTTTTTATAACCTAGTGTGTATATTTTTCCCTGATTTACAAATGGATTGTATTTGCTACAGGAAAGTATACTAAATAAGGTGATTTCTAAATACCAAGGATTCTATGGAGAATCATTGAAAAGCCTTAGAAAAGTAGTGTGGAGATGAGGTGTGAGTCACTGTTTAGATCTCACACAGATCTGAAACATGCCCTCACTCTCCCAAATCTTTCCGTCATTGCCAATGCTCCTCATCCTGCTTGAATGCTCTCTCTTCTTGGGCGTATATCCAGGCCCAACACATCCGGCAGGACATGGTGAGAGTCCACTTTGACAGTCTCTCTAGGGCAGTGGTGGGCAAACTCATGAGACTGCAGAGCCAAATATCAATAGAAAGATTGAAATTTCTTTTGTGAGCCAAATTTTTTAAACTTAAACTTCTTCTAACACCACTTCTTCAAAATAGACTCGCCCAGGCTGTGGTATTTTGTGGAAGAGCCACACTCAAGGGGCCAAAGAGCCGCATCACAGTTTGCTGAACACGGGTCTAGGGCATAGGATGCCGTTTGCCTGTTCTGAACAATCCATGTGGATGGCTTACTGGTGATTCATATTCTACATGTCCTCACTGTACTCATTATTTCCTCCTAAAAACTGTCCACTCCTCAGTATCCCCAATCTCTGGAAACTGCACCACCTGCTACATTAGAAACATTGGACAGAGCTCGATGGCCTGGGAGCGTCAGTCTCTTAAAGGTCCTAAAATATCCCTGCAAGTGTGGCCCGTTGAAGGTAACCCACTGACCAGAATTCTTCTCAGGAAAGAGATTGTGCTTTTAGAAGAAACATGTTCATCAACTACTTTGGTGGATGGGGGTTACTGGTGGTGAGAGGTCTTCAAGGCATTTGAGAATAACATATAATAAATTGTTGCTAAAGTTCTTCTCCCCAGTGGGTGTCAGGGTAATTGCAGAGTTTCTGTTTTGCTGAGTGGAGTCCATGTAAAGAACTTGGTTCTAGAGCTCCCTTGCTCTGGGTAGTAGAGAAAAGGTGGGCCACCACCACCAGGGGGCCTTTCTTCCCAAGGGCCTTCAGCCTCTAGTCTCAATAAATGTTCACCATAGTGAAAAGATATTTCAGAGGTCTTAAACTCAGTTCTTTCAGAGAACAGGCATGTATCATAGCTAAGTAAAACTGGATGTGATGTAATGGGCATGGTTGGGTCTCTAACAAACTGGTGTAAATGCTTTACCGAAATGCATTTTAATTCAAATTTTAAAAAATTGTGTCATAAAAAAAAAAAAAGCACACCTGTGTGTTAGAGACTGCTGCAGGTAGGAGTTTCTGTGTTATCCTTTGGAAAGAGTGCTACATGAACACCTTATCCAGGTGTCCAAAAGGCTCAGTCACTCACTTGTCATCATCACCTGTAAATCTGTAAGACTGAAGATTGCTTTGGTTGTGTCTGACAACTCTGTTCTGGAAGCAGGATAGAGGAAATCATGAAGACAGGTAAAAGGGTACATGTACACTGTCTCTTAAGGAAAGTTTGCAGAAGAAATTACCATACAACTATTCTACC